TGGTGATGGTGACTGAGGGTGAGAAAACCAAGTTCATAGGCTACTGCAGCAATGCAGATCTATTATCTGAAAAAGGATGCTTGGAGGAATCAAAAGGAACCACTGAAAGGGCTGAAAACTTAGTTTCTAGGCAATGAAAATGGTCAAGGACAGGGCTGGTCAAACGGCTCCAGTTGTAAGGCAGCTCTTCCCTGTGCACATGCCTCTACCAATGAAAGGAACAAGTGCTGGGCAGCATCTTGGCTGTCAAGCTCTGCTGGTTGTATTAATAATGTGCACAAACGTTGCAGGAGATAAAGAGGCACTGGAGTGTGTCCTGTCACTTGCATCCTGCATCTTGTGCTTCCTTGCTCTCTCTCTCTCTCTCTCTCTCTCTTTCTCTCTCTCCTTAGCATGAACTTTCAGAGCCTCCCATAGCTCACTGTCCTGTTCTGTAAGAATGCTTGATTCCCTTAAACTGCCAAATGATCCTTGCCTGTATTAAATTGTCCCTAATTTAGCTCTTGGCTGGCTGTTCTGCCAAGCCCAACGAGTGCTTTCTTGAAGCCTGAGTTACTGTCGTCATTTACTTCCTCAGTTTGCCCATATGTTCTCATCTGAATTTCCCCTGTGGTAAAGTTGCTTCCCCTTTAGTTGTGTGTTCCCTTCCCACCACAGACTTGGAAGGGTCAAGTACACTACCTCTCCTCACAAAATGGACTCTCTCATTGCTTTTGGGAGGGTGCATGTTGTGTAATTACATTCCCCAGTAGCTGGATCAAGGGCAAGAAAACAAATATCAGTACATTGGGGGGACAAGTCAAGGGCAACAAAGCTGGTGAAGGGTCTGGGGAACATGTCTTCTGAGGAGCAGCTGAGGGAACTGGGGTTGTGTAGTCTGGAGAAGGGGAGGCTGCAGGGAGTCCTCAGTGCTCTCTATAATTACCTGACAGGAGGCGGGAGTGAGGTGGGGGTTGACCTCTTCTTCCAAGTAACTAGAAACAGGACGAGAGGAAATAGGCTGAAGTTGTGCCAGATTTAGATTGGATCTTAGGAAGAATTTCTTTCCTGAAAGAGTGGTGAGGCATTGGAACAGGCTGCCCAGGGAGGTGGTGGGGTCCCCATCCCTGGAGATGTTCAGAAGACATGTGGACGTTGTACTTCAGGACACGGTTTAGTGGTCATGGCAGCGTTGGGTTGATGGTTGGATGTGATGATCTTGGAGGTCTTTTCCACCCTTTATGGTCCTGTGATAAAAAATGTTCCCATAGCACATCTTTGGGCCAGAAGTCTTCAGGGATGTTAGTTCTGCTGCCCTGCAGCTGCTGGTCTCCCTGGGGCTGAGCAGCCAGCGTGTCCCACGGAGGTAACACTCTCTTTTCCATCTGCAGACTCCTCTGATGCTGACAGATTGGAAAGGTTCTTTGACTCAGAAGATGAAGACTTCGAAATCCTATCCCTTTGAAGACAAATAGGAAAGTGACTGCAAATTTGTGTTCTGTGTGGGGAGAAGGGGGGGGAGGGAAGCTCCTTGGAGAGCCTGGGGCTACCGGTTTTCATAGGCGCTTGCTGCCATCCCCACCTCCTGTCCATCCTGGCATTCCCTGCAGCCTCTGGGAGCCTGCAGCAGCCCTGCTGGGATGAGGAGCCACGTGGCTGTCACAGCCTCACGGGCTGGAGGCAGAATTCCTCGGCAGGAAACCGTTGCTGGAAGTGGATGCAGTGGTGCTTAGGAGTCCGAGGCCTATTCTACATCAGCAGGTCAGCTGGCCTTCTGGGGGAGGCAGAGAAATTGTGTTAGAGCACTAAATCCTCACCTGGGGACTCCCCTCTGAAGCTTAAATATAGCCATCCATCATTTTAGCAGGTGAAATGTACAGTTAATTCCTTTAGCAGCTTCTCTTCTCACTGGCCAGCTTGGGCTGCAGCTCACCACACCAATGAACAGCAGACGTGTCCCAGCAAGAGAGCTGTGGAGCCCCTGGAGTGCAGGTGGCTGGGCTTCCTACAGCACAACTCCTGTTCATGCTTTGCAGCAAGCAGTGCTTCCTCACAGGTGTAGTACCCCTCTCCTGCTCACACCTGGGAGAAGGAACTTGAGGGGACTTCCAAGTGACTGGTGATTCACTAAGCAGAAGGCTGTGTGGGAAAGTGTGGAGCAGAGCCATGCTGCTGGGAAGGAATATCTCTTATCTCAGGTTAAACAACAGCAGAAAGAATGGAAGGAGAGTAGAAAACGTGCATGTTCTTGCTTGGCAAGTTGATCAAGCATTATGCTTCTGCAGTGGATTAATCTCTACAGCAAGTGTCTTCAGGAAAGCTACTTTGAGCAGAGAACTGGATCCCATAGCCCTGGAGGGGAAAAAAAGTCCCCAGCTGGGAGAGGTGAAAGAGGACATCTGAGATGTGCCAGTTGTGTGCCTGCTTCTGCCTGCCACCCCAGTGTGCTAGCAGGGAGCCCAGGGAATTAATGCTGTGGGTACCAAAAATGTGAGCTAGAAAATTGCTCAAGGTGTCCTTGTTGGGTTGTTCAGCAGTTCCTCCAGCTAATCCCATTAGATGTTCCCTTTCCAAATTAGAAGAGGTGCCTGAAGGTCAAGTAGGCTTGCTGGGTGCCTCCCTGCCTTTCCTTTTGTCTTCTGCCAGCTCTCCCCCTCCCTGCAGAGAATGCACAAAGTTGCTGTAGGAGCTAACCTGGAGAAAGCCATTTCAAGTAATCGTCCCAAAGAGGGCAGGATGCCTTGAGAAGGTCCAATTATACTGGAAATTTTAGCTGCTTTAAGGTGATAGTTCTGCCTGGGGCCCTCCTCCACACAGAGTTCAGAGAAAGGTAAACTGTGGGGAGTAGAGCTGTTTTGATGCAGACTGCAACAGAAGTTGCTGAAGTAGTTTCCTTGATGCATGCTGCAGATTGCAAACCTGTTTACAAGGCTTTCTTTTGTACATTTAGGATTGGAACCTGTCAGTTGATGCTTTTGTGCCCAAGGGTGGTGATAGCTGGCTAGAAATTTCCTGTTTCCCCCATGACTGACCTACTGATGTGCTAACTGTCCCTATGCTATCCAAAAGCAGAGGTTTGAACTGGGAACCACAGTGCTTCTGTCACTAAATTATTATTTGCTGCTCTCTGCCTGCTTCTCTCCTCTTGTAGTTAGAGGAAGAAGCAGCAGAGGAAGGGGGGCTGTGCTCCATTCATCTGCTTTCAATTTGTATCTGAATAAACAGATCTAAAACCTTTGCCTGTCCTGATGTCCCTGCAGGTGGATGGAAGGTGGTGGGTGGTATCTGGTAACCCTGCAGTGCAGTGGGGAGTTTTTACCCTGCTAAGGGCAACGAAGGTACATGGGAGCAGAAGCTGAACAATGCAACAACAGTGACTTTATCTTCCTTCTGGTGTATGACAGAACAGAGGCTGGCTTAAAACACTTCCAGAGCAATTCTGCTGCTTGAACTTTAAGCAGCACAGCATCTCAGCTCTTAGAACAGCATAAGCCCTTGCATGGCAGGATGTGTTTTTTTGGTCTCTTCCATGTGTGCTTCTGAGGTAGAGGGGGAAAAAGCCAAGGAGAAAGAGGCTCAGGTTTTTGCATTTGTAGGTGGAAAGTGAAACTTGTTTCCTTTAAGATTGTATCCCTGCTGTCAGTCATTTAACTGATAGCTTTTCACAGCATCAGCTTCCAGCCTAGCCTTCTAAACACCAGCTCTGCAGTAGCAAATGTTATAGAGCTAGGCACAGGCAATTTAATTTTTCCTTTCCTGTTGTGGCAACAGCAGGACAGAGTGCCTGAATGGGAAGGCTGTACCCTCTGCTGCCAGTGGCAGGTCCTTTCTGTTGAGAGCTAGTCACTCAGGGTGCACCTCCCTTGTGATCTGCACAACATGCTCAACTCCCTCACGAGTGTTTCTGCTCCCCAGTGCTCTGTAGCTGCAGAGCAAAGGCAGCAGCTTTTTCTGTTACAGCTGATGCTTGCAGTAGCTGTTTTTGATTTAAACATTTGCCCTCCTCTGCCTGCTAGTGGATCAGTTCAGTCTGCCTCTCTCTGAGAGCTGTAGCAGGTAGTAGTCCCTGTATTGGCCAGCTTGGAGACTGGTCCAGTCCACACTGCCAGAAGGGGAGTTAACTGTCCAGCAGATTCAGACACACTCTCCTGGTCATCTCCATACCTCAGTGCATCTTCCAAATGATTTCACATTCTGCTTTATTGTAGTTTGCTGGTCATTACTCGTGACTTTAGGTGGATTCATAGAGAATCTGGCTTGGCAGCCTGTGCTGGGCTGTTTAAAGTGCCCTGTGCTCTGTGTAGGAGTCACAGGTGACTATTCTTCTGATACTGGCCACAGAAATAACTTGACCAGTCTAAAATAACGTGTGCCACTCACCCTTCAAACTAACCTTGCTATGAGCTAATGCATCTACTTCAGATTCTTATCTGCTCATAGCAGTTCAGTTTCTGTGTCATTCTCACTGAAAAGCTGGGCAGCAGACTTGAATTCATCTCTTCCTTCATTCCACAGCTCTAGCAAACCACTCTCCCCAGGCTCAGCACCTTCACCTCCCACAGAGCCTGAAATGGCCTGTACAAAATGTTTAAAAGAATAATTTATTTGCAAGTTCTCTACAAACTGGTTTCAACACAGAGGGTGCAGTTACTAGAGAGGCAGAAGACACCACCAAACGTGGTGGTTCTGCCAAACTGGGAGGGCTGTTGGGGCCATCTATGCCAGCCCTCCCTGGGCTCCAGACCTGCACTACAGGACTGGGGTGAGCCCAAGTGCTGCTGCTTACAGCAGGGAGGGTTTTATGAAGGATTTGTTAAGTGCTTGTTGCATATCCATGGAGTACACAGCATGGAGGGAGAAGCAGATAAAATCACAAGGACATCAGCACCATGCTGGACACAGAAGAATACATGGGATGGAAACTGGAGTTATTGGAAGATGATGCAGGGGAATCATCCAAGCAAGGAAGATCCATGAAGTGAGTTTTCCCTTAGGTCTGAAAGAATAACCTGTATAAGGTTTTATTTCCAGAGTTCTCCCAAAGGTTTATGCTGAACCTCCTGCATGGTTTCTTCTGCAATGGACTTGATTTCTCTGTGCAAGTCTTCTATGCTCTTTGAAGCATCCATTGTCTGTTTCCAAGACAAAAAAATAGAGAAACATATTCCTCAGCATCTCCAGATGAGAAAGACCTTGCAGTTATGTCTGCTCCCCCCCCCATTACTCAGTGTTGTTGCTATTCATGAGCATTGAAATGAGCTAACTATACCACTTGGGCTCTGCTTCTGGAGTGGAAAGGGAAAAAGATGTTTTATTTACAAATAGACACTTCAGGAGTAGATGTAGGGCTGGATGAAAGGAAGCAAAAGAAACTACTACTGCACATTGTTTGCTGACAGTCTTTGGGGCATGTAAAGGCAGGTAAACTCTTCATCTTGTACTGTAGTCCCCCAGAAACATCAATGTATTGATCCTCCAGTGGTTCTTCAAAATAAATACCACCCATAATAGTAGGAACCTCTAAAAATTCCATCATGGGATGTTCCAGTTTCAGATCTGTTGGTTGGTTTGGGGTACTGAGCTGTCTCATGCCTGGAACTAAATGGTTCTTTGGCAATGTTTGACATCTGTTGTTCTGTCTGATACTGAGGGACAAAGAGACAGGAATGCTGACCTTTAATGGGTAGTAAGACTGGATTTCCACACTCATTTCAGGGACACCTTTTCATCATCTGTTCTGATAGTTCTGACTGATAGTTGTGCACTTTGGCATATCCTAAATGGATGTGTTGCTTTATAGTGAAAACTCCTGTCTAGTCACAGATAGCAGTTGCTTTATAGCAATAAGAATAACAGAACTAAGAGAAAAGTGGCCCACTGCTGGGGTCTCTGGGAAAATCAGAACCTACAGACCACATACAAGCTCTATATTGTCTCATATGATATGATTGTTAATTATTTTGGTGCTATGGTATGTGTTTTCTGTCAGCTTATTTTTCCAGTCATTGTATGTGGGGAAGGCAATATCCTAGCATAACATTTACAGGAATAAAGTCCTAGTTGGGTGATTGTTGCACAGCCAGGCCCTGCAGGTTCTAATAGTACACAGAACCACTTTTGTGTTAGAGAATCACATTTACTTCAAACAGGCTCTGAAGAATTAACTCTATCTTACACAGTCTGCTCATTTGAGAAGTCTGTGCACATACTCAGCTTCTGGTGACTAGTAACTTTCCCAGAACCCATGTCCTCCTATGTCTGCATGAAAGCTACAGAATAAACAGAAGATGCTGCCCACATCTCATAATCAAGCACTGACAGGATGATGGAGATTGTAAAAAAGGATGTCCCCACTAGAAAACCTCAGCCTAGATGGTCTACACACAGGATAAATGGGGTACATTGCCTCTTTTGGGATAAGGCTGCTGACTGTGCAGTCCTCTGCAAACAGCTCCAAGTGATGAACAAGGAGAAGTGAGGCACCAGCATGGAACAAAAAAAGATCATCTATTTGGAGAGACTTCTGGCAGCATTAAGATAGCAAATGCTGATGGAAACCAGCCATGTGAGAAGGAAGGTGACCATCAGTACTATGTCTACAAGCTAGATGCAGGAGGGACACCAGAATCCTTGGCAGATGCTGCAGGACAGCAAGGAAACAGGCAGGGAAGTCTGTTTCAGTGGGTGTATCCCACTGGTTTTTTACCCAGGTTTGTCACTTTAAGAAGGAGAATGATTTCCAAAAAGCTCCTTTGGAAAACAAATCAACAAAACAAGTCTTCTCCCCCACCCCAACAGGGCCCCACAGGATGTCCTGGAACAGGGAAGTGTCCTCTCTGCCACAGACCACAGTGCCCTTGGCTGGTCCCCATCACGCCAGGGATATGATTGGCACAGTGTGGAATCTCTCACGAGAGGCCCCTGCTCTGGTGTGTGACAGGCCCATCAGGGGTATTTCCTCACCTTCCAGTTTAATGTCTTGTCCTTCATCAGCTGGTTGAAGGAGTGGAGAACCTTCTCTTGGAAGGGGCTGTTCTCATACCGTTCATTCCCAAAGTCCCCTCGCTGCGCTGCCGCTTCCGGGCTCAGCTGAAGAAACAGAATCACATCTGGCTTTGGGAGTCCCACATCAGGCTGTTTGCACCAGTCCAGGCAGAAGTTCTGTCCCAAACAAAGACAACCACCTTTGAGGTGAAAGAAAGGAATGCAAAGAAGGGAAAGAAGCAGCTTAGCTGGAGAGTGGGGTGGGAATGGGACAGCCAGAAGCGAGGACGTGCAGACTGAAAGATTAAACACAGGCTACAAACTGAAAAGGCAATATCCAAGTTTACCATCTGGGAATTCAGTCCTGGGAATCCTGGCAGGCCAGGGGTTTCCAGGTGCTGTGCCCCTCTCATGCTCCAAGTCAGACAGAGCTGAAG